CCCCAAAACCCCAAAACCCCAAAACCCCGTATTATTTAAAAAATATTGAAAGAGTAAAGATATTAAAATATGCAAAATTATTCGAAAGAGATTCCGAGTTTGAGCAGAGTAAGCTTACGCTTTTGCATTAACAAAATATAACTCTCCTTTGACGCTCAAAATGTAAACTAATTAAAATATGTAGATATCATCTCCAGTTAAAAGAAATATTTCGATGGGTACTACTCACCAATGAGGGTTAAACAGGCATGTCGCTTGTAGTAAATTTTTAGAAATATGCGAACAAGAGTAAAAAGCACTTTCTCTCCTAATCCCAAAAAAAATGGCTGATTTAGGGTAAATTCATGTTCTGACTGAGTAGGAAAAGAATAAGCTTGAGGCTGTCCAAAAGTAAGCTCGTGAAGCATTTTATTATGCATTTATTCATTGTAGATAACATTTTATCTAGAAGAAGAGTCTTCGTATCTCCTATCCTAACTAACACAAAATCTATCCAGTTCAACTTCAGTATGCTGATCCTTTCATTTCCCATAGCTGATGCTCACACGCCCAAGGTTAAAGATTCTCTTCAAAAATTAGGATCTTTATGAGCTATGAGACCGTAAGAAATTATTCCGAAATACTATGAATCTTTTATAATTTTCATCAGTAGAAGTACAAATGGCGCTAATGAAATTTTCCCTTGTCCATCTTGTTCAAGCTTCTCATCATTTTGTAGGAGATCTAATCTGAAATGAAGCAAGTTTAAGACAACTAAGAATGTGGGAGCCTCCCAGAATAAAGACAGGTTCAGGGATAGGAGAGAAGTCACATCTATTGACACCATTAATTTTAATGATTTTTCAGACTCAAAGTTAGCCACCGAGTCTGAATCTTCACAACAATTTATGGAAAAGAACTCACTGAGGTTATCCAAGAACATCAGTCAAGTAAGACGTGCAAGGTTTGCAGCTACCTGAGTTGAAAGCTCATTAGATTCTACTAAATTCCTGATACAGGATGAAAAGATTCGTGAGTGCCAGAATGAAATTACTAGTTTAAAATCTATGAACAAGTCCTTGACGGAAAAGAACTATTCTCTTCAAACAAAATTATTGATAGAGAACCAGCATAAGTCTTTATATATGGCTTTGATAAATAAGAATATGGAAGAAGGTAATGAAAAAGCCAGCATTTCCGAAATATTACAAATCCTCAGAGATCTTGAAAGAGACGATGTCAAAAAGACGGAAAGCATCAAAATAAAGGAATACGAGGAGAAGATATCTTCCTTAGAGTATGGTCAATTTTTTACACCCTTTAGGGCTGAAATAGAGAGCCTTAAGGCTAAGCAAGAGGAGAAAAGCTCTTCTCAGGACAAGAGCCAGCATATTATAGACCTAAACACTATTTTACAAGAGAAATTAAAAAGGTAATAACTGGTGATACTAATATGTAGCTGTTTGACTAAATATAAAAACACGAAATGAGAAGTGAAGAAGCTCAACCAGGCTAACTCTAAGCTAAAAATAGAAATTGAAAAGCTCCATAACACCATTTCTCAAAGGGATGAAACTATAGAGATGAAAGAAGCCGCCATATCTGGATCTGTTAGGGAAAAAGAGCTTCTTACTAAAAGAATCAAAGAGCTTGAGAAACAGTTGTATAAGTTTGAGGATAATGATGATGTCTGCAATCTCAATCCATACGAAATGCATGAGAGAATGAGGTACTTTGAGAACATGTATGAGCTCACGTAAGACAGCTGGAAGCTTATTTCTAGGAATGATAAGTATATTCAATCTCAGAAATTTACTGACAAGATCAACAGTTACCTCTTCAGAATCGGGCTATCTTATGAAGGTTTGAAGAAAGCAGCCGCTAAGGGTAAACTTGAGATTGAAAGATATTCTTTTAAACATAATTTTACAACAAAAGACTACCTTTCAGATAGACAACGAGAAAATAGGAATTCAGGTATTAATAACAAAAATAATTTATTTACATTTTTTTAATTTAGACGCTTCCGGATTCTTCATACCTAGATTTGATACACTAAAGTCTTCAGAAGATAGTTTTACAAGTATATCAAAGCTTCAAACTGAGACAGATAAAATTTTGAAGAAAAAATTTGCAAAGGTAAGCCTCAGTTATTATTACATAGGAGTCAAGAGTCAAGGAACTCAGAGAAGATTATGAATCTAAGATTCCTTCTGGATTTAAGATTTAAGATGATGAAATTATGAATAACGATTAATTTTTATTTATATAAGTATATGGTCTATTCTCAGTTATTTCGACAACACTGGGGTTTTGGGGTTTTGGGGTTTTGGGGTTTTGGGG